AGCACTGCAGCAAAAACATTTGTGTTTGTTTTGTTTTTATGATTGACATTTTAGCAACAAGGAATGATGATATACTAACATTTTCTCAGAAATAGATGAGTAGTGTGTAGTAGCAATCATTTTAATATAATCGTCACTAGACGTCATAAAACTGACATTTTCAAATGTGATTTTTACAGTGAATTTAACACTTTAAGCACCAAAAGATGTCTTACTGCGATTTAAAATGATTGGCTCACCCGAACTATGCCAGACTCACTTATTTAAAAAAATCGGTTTCTTTAACAGTTTATATTCCAGAAGATGAGACTAGTTTTTCAGTCGTCTGCGCTGCATAGTTTGGTTTAGAGCGCAGGTTTTAATGCTGTCAGAACATTAAATGAGGAGCCAGACCAGACACCATTAATAAAACGAAACTGTTTATTTGATAGTTTATTTTTCACTTGCTTTCAGTGGAGTTGGCCCAGCCTCCGCTGAAAGGGGACTGAAGGGGTTCGCTCAAATAAACAACGTTAGTTTTGATGACACATGGTTCGTACGGGTGCTTGAAATCCTTGACAGTGTTTGAATTTGGCCATGCAAAGGTGTACGAACCTTGTGACGTTACCAGGTGAGCTCTTCAGTGGGCGTGTCCTGCGTTGTGTTTTCTGTGTTTGTGCCTTCGTCGTCCTTTTTCCTCCTCCTTTTTAAATACGCTACAATAAAAAGGTTGGACACACGTTGTATCTGACCGTCTAACAGCGGAGTATGTGCCCATGTCCTCCAGACAAACAGGAAGAACAAAGGAGCAGCCGTGATTGGTCGACAGACCCGCGAGCCACCGGCCGCAGTCCCGCCCCCGTCAGCGACGAATCTAATGGGAAAAGTTAGAAAACAACTAAACAATCAACAAAGAGGGGAATTTAAGATGGCGCCGGGCGGGAGAACCGGAGCATTAACCCGGAGCTGTCTGTAACATTAGGCCGGGATGTGAGCGTGTCAGCGCGGAATGAAGCAGCCCGGGCTGAGGGCATTATGGCCGCTGTGACAGTCACCACCATACCCGCTGAATCATGACAGATTCACTTGGAGTGTCGGGGCGAGACGGCCGGGTTCCAGCTCCTGGAAGCGGCGGGGGGGCGGCGGGGAACCGGGAGGGACACAACCGTCCGAGCACCGAGACCTGAGCCAACACGCCATGTTCCAGGACCTGATCCGCTTCTGTACGGAAGACAAGTACTAGTTTTATCTGTTTGACAACAATTACTGATCGCCTGCGTTAGTCAACGCCCAGTGTGATCCAGATTTATTGACAGGACTCCTAGAAAGCCTTCGTAACAAGCAGACTCCTTGCGAAAATGAGTTAAATAGTTTATTCTAACAGGTTAGATACTTACTTAATTCCCCCTGTCTGCACTCCTGTCATTACCGTGTTTTAAGTGGTTTTGAGCCTAATCAATTAAAACATCAGTTTTCTTATTATAAGGCTTGGTATTCTGGATTCCAGCGAAAAGCTAAGGTTTTCTGAATAGAGTTTGGTTCAGAGACATTCTTTCTGGTTAAATGCCGACGAAAGACTCCAATCCAAACAGTTTTATTCCCGTCAGGACTAAATGAAAGTGAGCTGAGTTCAGTTTATGTTTGCTATACCCCGGGTTATCAATGGAAATCCTGTAAAG